TTGTCTATAGACCAAACTACAGTCCTGAGGGTTTTTACCAAACCTTGGCCCTGCTCAGAGCAAGGGGCATCCATCTTGGCATACCTGCACCAGCCTACGGATGACCTGGAAACGCTTTTAGATTTTCAACTAGTTCCTGAATCAGCACAACTCCTATGTCATCCCATCGCCATGTCTGGAATACCTGGGCATGCTGCGGGACACCAGGGAGGCAAAAGTATTATTTACTTGTGCAAAACCGACTAAAGATCTCTCTCTTTCAAGGGTAATATTGCTCATTTTTTCTTGTGTATTGGGATCCTGTGACTAATTGTCTCTTCCTTGGAAGTCCTTTCCTTATGCCCAGTCTCACAGAGTTCTCCAATAGACTATTCTGGCCAATGTCTCCTCTATCCTTGGCAAATTAGATTTTTTGTTACTTCAAACAAAGTTGAAACAACTGTCATAGTTCCAGTTGCCCACAGTATCTCTGGGAGACCCTTCTGTCTGAGTTACACCTTGGATGCAAGCCTCTCCAGATGGGTGGTGCTCAGTGTGAGCAAAAACTATTGTGCCAATCAACATTCTAGAAATCTTGGTGATCCTCTTGTCTCTACTACACTGGCCAACCCACCAGCAGGGCATCCCAGTTTGACAGTTGCAGACCTATGGTCCAGTTTGACCGTTGCAGACCTATGGAAATCAATAAAGCAGAACAAAGAGTCAGACAACACAAAGTTGGCAATTAAAAGGCAGACTTTCTAAACCCTGTGTTTTTTGTAATTAAAACTGTCAACCTCACGCTACAAATGAAAAAAACTCCTTCAAATTAAATAGGTCTAAAAAAACACAAAAAAACAAAACACCAGTGCTCTAATCTTCATGCTCCACATGTAAAACTGTATATGTCACTTGGTGAGGTGTAGCCCTCTAAAGATGGGGGGAGTCTTGATACCAGCCACCAGGTGCCAACGAGCACCATCATCCCAGGACTCCAGTCCTGTAACATTGACCCATTAGACTTCATGTTTGTTTTTTTACATTTGTTTTGTGAGAATCCATTTGTTATGTCTTTAATAAATTCATTTGTAACCACGTTAATGCACGAGGAGAGTGCGCCCTTTTGTGTTTTCTGTTTGCATGTCTAAAATCACATGCTACATTATATTTTAACTACTTGAACTCCAGGAGGTTTTACTCTCCATGACCAGGGCAAATTTTTGCTAATCAGCACTTTGCTACTTTAACTGGCTAGTGACTCTTGAGAAAAAAAAAATCAGTTCTCAGTGAAGAAAGTTCACATCTCCAAGTTTCCTGAAGCTCAAACAAGTTCTAGAGGTTTTTTTTTCTTTCTTTCTTTGTTGCTCAAATCGTGCAGATTTGCATGTTTTTGATTCCATAGAAATGAACAGAAACTATCGATTTGTGCATTTTGGCACATTTTTCTGCTCATATGAAAACATGTAAAAAAAAAAATAGAATAACTAAATGTTAAAATAAATACATCAATAAATAAAAATAATCAAGAAACGTTAAATAAAATAAATATGTAATAAGGAATAAATATTTGCCCCTAACCCTTAAATAAATAAGACTGTAACAAAAATAATAAATAAGAAGATATTAAATATAATATTAACCCCAACCCCTAATCCTAACCCTTGTACCTAACTCTAACCCTTTTACCCTAAGAAAAAAAAAAAATATGAATAATTAAAGATTAAATAAAAGCTGATGGAAAAGCTAAAAAAGCTGAAAAGCATAGCTATTATAAAAAACAAGGAAGCTCAAAAACGTGCGACAAAACGCCAAAAAGGCTCAATAATGCAAAGCTCAGGTGTGAATGTAGCCTAACAGGAAGGCTGTTGAAGCCCAGGTCTTGGGGCACAGAGGGCTCTGTTTGTCGCAAAAAGCCACGTCCTACTTGTGAAGCTGGTCTGAGGTATTTGCTTGACTAAGGCTACGTTCACACTAGCCTTGTGTGCAGGCAGCAGAGAGGCGTTTGGGAAGCGTTTTTACCGCTTCCCAAACGCCTCTGCCAACTCTGCACATTACAGCACATGGTGCTGTTCTAACAGGAGCGTTTGCGTCGCGGCAAAACGGACGCCTCTGGTCGAGTTTGCGGTTGCGGGGCGTTTGCGGAGCGGTAACACCACTCAAATGCATTATAGGCGTTTGTGGGGCGTTATTAACGCTCGGCAAACGCCTAGCAACCGCCGCTAAACCGCGCATGCGGCGTTTGCGGAGCGTTTGCCGAGCGTTAAAAACGCTCCGCAAACACCGGACCAACGCTTGCCAAACGCTATAGGGGCGTTTGGCAAGCGTTGGCAAAACAGCCTAGTGTGAACGAGCCCTAAGACTTTCAGCTGCCCTATGAACTGATTGTAGCCTCAACTACATACGGTATACAGCGCTGTGTTCCAGCAGTGGGATGGGAACTTCCCATCCCACACCTGGAACAAACTTGAGTTGGGTTGAGCACTGTTCAGCCATTCACAGGGATCTTTGTATGAAAACAAGCCTCCCTCTTATGGGGCTGGGGCTTAGATCGTGACCTCATCTGCCTGCCAGTCACAGGAAGCTTTGAATCCAATTAGAAAATACACAGCTCCTTGTGAGTGGCTGAATGTTCCAATATTGTGTAATATTCCTACAGAAGGATAATGAAAGTGCCCCATGTGTTTATAATGTCCACTATCAACATTAAAACATGTAAACACGTGGGACACTTTTTGTATCCATCTGTAGGAATATTACACAATGTTATATCCATATTATGAGATTCATATGAATTTGTTTCCCATTGCATGTGGCACTTATTACTGTATTTATGATTGCATGATGCATTTTTTATATATATCTTGCTTGCACTTTGTGATAGCGAGAGATAGATCTAGAGAGATAGATACAGTGAAGGAAATAAGAATTTGATCCCCTGCTGATTTTGAATGTTTGTCCACTCACAAAGAAATGATCAGTCTAAAAATCGAATGGTAGGTGTATTGTAACACTGAGACAGAATAGCAACAAAAATTCCAAAAGAAATGCATGTCTAACAAATTATGCACTGATTTGCATGTTCATGAGGGAAGTATTTTTGATCCCCTATCATTCAGCAGGATTTCTGGCTACCAGGTGTCTTTCATACAGGTAACCAGCTGAGATTAGAAGCAGTCTCTTAAAGGGAGTGCAGCTAATCTCATTTTGTTACCTGTATAAAAGACAGCTGTCCACAGGAGCAATCAAACAATCAGATTCCAAACTCACCACCATGGCAAAGACCAAAGAGCTGTCCAAGGATGTCAGGGACAAGATTGTAGACCTACACAAGGCTGGACTGGGCTACCAAACTATCGCCAAGCAACTTGGTGAGAAGGTGACAACAGTTGGTGCAATCATTCGCAAATGGAAGAAAGACAAAACAACTGTCAGTCTCCCTAGGTCTGGTGCACCATGCAAGATCTCACCTCGTGGAGTGTCAATGATCATGAGAACAGTGAGGAATCATCCCAGAGCTACACGTGAGGATCCTGTCAATGATCTCCAGGCAGTTGGGACCACAGTCACCAAGAAAACAATTGGTAACACACTACACTGACAAGGATTGAAATCCTGCAGTGCCCGCAAGGTCCCTCTGCTCAAGAAAGCACATGTCCAGGCCTGTCTGAAGTTTGCCACTGAACATCTGAATGATGGAGAGGAGGACTGGTTGAAAGTGTTGTGGTCAGATGAGACCAAAATCAAGCTCTTTGGCCTCAACTCGCTGTATTTGGAGGAGGAGGAATGCTGCCTATGACCCCAAGAACACCATCCCAATTGTCAAACATGGTGGTGGAAACATTCTGCTTTGGGGGTGTACCATCAAATCTTGGGTGAGAACCGTCTTTCCTCAGCCAGGGCATTGAAAATGGGTCGTGGATGGGTGTTCCAGCATGACAATGACCCAAAACACACGGCCAAGGTAACAAAGGAGTTGGCTCAAGAAGAAGCACATTAAGGTCCTGGAGTGGCCTAGCCAGTCTCCAGACCTTAATCCGATTGAAAATCTGTGGAGGGAGCTGAAAGTTTGAATTGCCAAACGTCAGCCACCAAACCTTAATAACTTGGAGAGGATCTGTCAAGAGGAGTGGACCTAAATCCCTCCTGAGATGTGTATAAACCTGGTGGCCAACTATAGGAAACGTCTGACCTCTGTGATTGCCAACAAGGGATTTACCACCAAATACTAAGTCATGTTTTGTGACGGGGATCAAATACTTATTTCCCTCATGAACATGCAAATCAGTGCATCATTTGTTAGACATGCATTTCTTTTGAATTTTTTTGTTGCTATTGTCAGTTTTACAATACACCTACCATTCGATTTTAGACTAATCATTTCTTTGTGAGTGGGCAAACATTCAACATCAGCAGAGGATCAAATACTTATTTCCTGCACTGTAGATGTAGAGATCTAGAGAGATAAAGAGATACAATTTTTTTTTTTTACAGTGATTTGGTTTCCATGGTAGGGATTATTTAGGTGATATACGTTGTTGGGGGGTAGGGTAGCACTGTTCATGGTTTACATTATATATCCTAATCTATATTGTAACACATTAATCCCACCTAATCCTTAACCTTACTAAAACTTTAAACCGAAAACATTCCTTTTACTTGAGCATGCACCTTTCTAATCCATATAACTCTTCTGTTTATCTAAAGTATCAAACTTTTTCTGAATTGTGACCTTTCCTGGAACTACGGATTTGCCTGCACCAAGAAAGAGCTTAGATTTTGGCTCCAAAAAATAATTTTCTTTTCATACTGTGCAGTCATACAACACAGCAGGGTTGGCTGGATCTTGAGAGGGATATATGCTACTATTCATTTGTTAGCAGATTAACCGCTCCTTGTCTGTTACAAGTGCAGGTTTGGCTCATGTTGACCCTTGAACCTAAAATATAGCGTGTAGTGTTTGAGATGATGGTTTTTTTTTTTTGTACTGACATTACTTCTTTTCTGCTTGTCTTTCACACTAGGCATTTTTTGAAGCTCATCCAGCGCCCTCTGCAGAGCGAACGGTGCAACAGTGCTGTGAAAATATAGTCTTGAATGCTGCCTGGCTGAAGAGAGATGGTGATGCCATGCACCAGTATCTACTGCTGCGCAAGTCGCCTTCATCTGCTGTGTGAATGTGCACAGTCATTCCCATCCGCCTGCTGTCTCACCGCCCCAACAGGCTAGACCCTAGGCCCCCTCTATGGGAGGCTCTGTACTTGTCCTCCCTCATCCCCCTCAACACCCTTCCACCTACTGGGGAGCTGGTCGGAAAACAGAAACCCATGTCAGCTCCTGCTTAGTCCCCAATCAACTCCTTAGGGATTTTATTAAATTGCTCAGTCAGTCTGTACATACGGGAAAAAAAACACAGCATCACGCTGCTAACTGTGAATCGCCATAAACCTCTTCCGAGGGAATTCTGCCTGAGAGTAGACCAGGAGAGGGACTTTTCAATTGGCTTTTGAGAGGCAGATATATCTGACACCACTGTAGGTGGTTATCTGTAGGAAAAGGGAGCGCAATCTGACAAGTTATTACAGAGTGTGAATTAGCCAAGGCCAGGTATGGAAAGTGGCTGGGTATATAGATAGTCCTTTATTTTTGATGAGGGGGTCATCCCCTCCTGTTTGCTCCCTTAATTACCTCTTGTATTTCCCATCATAAGAATACTGTAACTGTTGGTTTCCTGTTGTCTGTTTTGGAGTTTAACCCATTGTACTGGAAGGAATATTTAATCTTGGGGGTCTGAGCACAATACATTCTCATGCCCACGACTCTCAACTTTTCAGTGGCCTGGACAAATAACCCCTTCAGTACTGCAAAGCCTTGCGCAGTGGCAGCCTGTTTGCTGTCGATGGACTTGTCCTTAATTTCGATTTGTTAACTATGCTAAAGAAGAACACAGTGAACTGCCTGTGCTCCTGTTCTTAACATCTGTCCTCTGCCTATCCTCTCCTTTTCCTGCATAATTTCTAGGTTTCCCAGATTGTGAAGCCTAATGGCGTAGTGGCAGGGCCATGGGCCTTGGTTCTCAGACTTACCGGATTCCTCTTTTGTGCTATTGTTTTAAATCACAAAAATAAAAACTATTAAAAAAAAAAACAAACAGTTGGCGTTAATAAAGATAAAATGTGAGTGTGTAACAGAACAGTGGTCTTGTCTTTGTGAATTATTGTTTCTCTGTATTTTTTACCAACACTTAAAGGGTGAAGCTTTCAGTGGTATTTCCACTTTTGCAGGCATTTGGTAAAATCCCATTCTGTTTGTGTTATTTACACATCATACCTAAAAAATAAAAAAAAAAACAATTTCCTACCTTTCTAGTTGTTTCTTTCAGTCAGGTGTATACATAGGACCTCAAGCTTGTCTGAACACTTGAAAGCAGTAGTAAACCTCCCAAAAAAGGAAAAAAAAAAAAAAAATTACCCTTCAAAATAATGCCATATTTTTGTAGCACATTATGAAAGACTTGCCTTAGGACAAATCCCTCCAGTGGCGTGCTGTTGCCACTGACAGGGCTTCCATCTTCACCCGGTCTTCCTTATGATTTTGCATGTTCTGGCTGCTACATTGGCTGAGTTGTGTTGACGTTACTCCCATGCATTTCTGCCACGGCACAGAGCACTGAAGTAACGGCACGGGTATGCAGTTGCGTAAAAATGCAATTGATCCTGACTTCTCTGATCCTCCCCGTCTTCCAGTGCCCCCCTCTTATCCCATAACACATATCGTGTGGAGTCATTCTGCACATGCTCAGTTTAGTGTGTATTGCTAGAGAGGGTTTTTCTTCTTTTTTTTTTTTTTTTTTCTTCTTGGGAGAATGCATGTGATCATCACAGGGCCAATCAGCACTGTCCAGACAGGTCATGGATTCTGCATCCTCCTACAAGCTTTAACCGGTGCGCTGCTGGACACTGAGAGAAGTCACAAGACTGCTCTAACTGCTGAGGAGAAAAGGTATTTAGCAGTTTATATTTACTAAAATAATAGCATTTCTGTGTACTGTGGGAGACCAAATAGAGAGAGTGAATGCAGGGTTCTGGGTTGGGTAACACTTTACAGACAGTTTTTGAGATCTAGTTTACAACAGATGCGATCTGCTAGCATAGTTAGTGAATTACAGTGTGAGCCTCCTACGCTACTAAATGAACAATATTATAGAATGGGGGGGCTGCTAGCTCCCAACCATATACCAAATGGATACTGAAGTGGACAAATACAGTTGTGTTCAAAATAATAGCAGTGTGTTGAAAAACGTGAATAAAGCTCAAAATCCTTCTAATAGCTTTTATTTCCATACACACAAATGCATTGGGAACACTACACATTCTATTCCAAATCAAAACATAACGAAAAATATCAAATTTGTGTTCCTCTAAAAAAAAAAAAATGAAGAAAAGTGAATATCGGCCTGTTCAAAAAAATAGCAGTGTTTGTATTCTTCTTTACAAACTCAAACATTCACTATATAAACTGAAAAATGTTTGAAGATTTTGCTTTCCTTTGAATCACTTAATTAGTATTTAGTTGTAGTCGCACTGTTTCTGAGAACTGCTGTACATCTGTGTTGCATGGAGTCAACCAACTTCTGGCACCTGTGAACAGGTATTCCAGCCCAGGATGATTGGACTACATTCCACAGTTCTTCTCTATTTCTTGGTTTTGCCTCAGAAACTGCATTTTTGATGTCACCCCACAAGTTTTCTATTGGATTAAGATCCGGGGATTGGGCTGGCCACTCCATAACGTCAATCTTGTTGGTCTGGAACCATGATGTTGCACGTTTACTGGTGTGTTTGGGGTCGTTGTCTTGTTGGAACACCCATTTCAAGGGCATTTCCTCTTCAGCATAAGGCAGCATGACCTCTTCAAGTATTCTGATGTATTCAAACTGATCCATGATCCCTGGTATGCGATAAATAGGCCCAACACCGTAGTATGAGAAACATCCCCATATCATGATGCTTGCACCACCATGCTTCACTGTCTTCACAGAGTACTGTGGCTTGAGTTCAGTGTTTGGGGGTCGTCTGACAAACTGTCTCCGGCCACTAGACCCAAAAAGAACAATCTTACTTTCATCAGTCCACAAAACGTTGCGCCATTTCTCTTTTAGGCCAGTCAATGTGCTCTTTGGCAAATTGTAACCTCTTCAGCATGTCTTTTTTTCAACAGTGGGACTTTGCGGGGGCTTCTTGCAGATAGCTTGGCTTCACATAGGCGTCTTCTAATTATAACAGTACTCACAGGTAACTTTAGACCTTCTTTCATCTTTCTGGAGCTGATTGTTGGCTGAGTCCTTGCCATTTTGGCTATTCTATCCATTCGAATGGTAGTTTTTTTGCTTTCTTCCACATCTTTCAGGTTTTAGTTGCCATTTTAAAGCATTTGCGATCATTTTAGCTGAGCAGCCTATCATTTTCTGCACTTCTTTATATGCTTTCCCCTCTCCAATCAACTTTTTAATCAAGGTAGGCTGTTCTTCTGAACAATGTCTGGAACGACCCATTTTCCTCAGAATTTCAGAGAGAAATGCACTGTAACCAGCATGTACAACATTTGTTGCCTTCCTTCCTTAAATAAGGGCAATAATTGCCACCTGTTTTTCAAAGAATGAATGACCTCATTAATAGAACTCCACACTGCTATTATTTTGAACATGTCCCTTTCAATTAGTGTTTCAATTACACAGAATCAGCAGCAGGCATGTCATGACTGTTGGGTCTGTTGGATTTCTATTACTCTACTACACCTGCTAGTAAATTATTTGCCATGTAGAAATATATTTTCTACCAAAAACAGGGATTGATCAGGTTAGTGATGTCTGACTGCTATTATTTTGAACACAACTGTATATATAAACTGGTGCAGCGCTTACCCTGAAATACTGCCTTCTAATAATTAAATGCAATTGATATTGTTTAGAAATAACTTATAAGTGACTATTAATGTATACTGGGAATAATAATCCCTTTATCGTGAAGTGAACTGATCCACTCGGGGATCTAAAGTGAAATCAAATAAGTGACTAAACATGGTACCAAAACAAACAGTGAAAGCAAAAAGTCCAAATGGGACTGCACTGATGTGAACAAAAATGAAAATATGAATAAATTGTATATAATGAATCTCTGAAATTGGGACCAATAGCTCGCACTATACTGATCACAATGGCTAAATAATGCCTGATAAAGTAAAGAAACAAGTGACAATAAGTGAATCCCTAAATAAGGGATCAGATTCCACAAAAGTGACAAGTGCTGTGATATAACCATAAAATATATACCAAAATTAAATGAACATTAAAAAATTATGTGAAAAAAAAATCAACACCACTTGATTTTAAATACTATTATGCAATAAGTCCAAAAAAAATATATAAAAAGTTCAAAGGTGCGTGAACACCAAATAATCCAATGATTTTAGAGCATGCAGGTGATAAAGTGGATGTACTTAACAACCAATGCGAAATAATCCATAGGCGGCTGAATTGCCCCCTCACCTCCTCGAAGTGACCCAAACGGGCCAAAACGCTTGTAGAAACAAAAAAGGACCCTAACTGTGGAAATCATTTAATTTAGTATGCTATGTAAATAGAAATATGCAACAAATAAAAAATAGGTGATATCCCCGTTTGGCTGCAAAAGTGGAGATACACTTAAAGGTTTCTCTTTATGGTGGATGGTCTGTAGCCACTGCCTTGTAAGAGCTCATTTGCAAAAAAATAATAAATGCACATCTTTTTTAACTGCAAATATATGCCTTTATTATGTTTTTAAAAGGTGGCGTTGGCCTTTAAATTATAGGGATTGTTAGCCCCTGTTTTAACCTCACCTATCTGAGAACAAACCTTTGTGTAGATGTGCCGTGGTTTCCCTATACTAAGGTCAAAACGCACACATACAAGGTAAGCTTGATTGACGGCATTATAAACCTTCGTACCTGCACCTTGTGTATTTCACCTGCATATGCAATGGACATTTAGTTTCCTGGTGTCATTTGTTAACCTGTATGTATTCAGCCTTTAGTAAAGTTTAAACCCAATTCCAAAAAAGTTGGGATGATGTGTAAAATCTACATAAAAACAATGCAATGATTTCCACGCCTCATAAACCCCATATTTTATTCACAA